GTTACAGGGTCTCACGGTTCAGAGAACGTTTCTTGGGCAGAACTGCTGCCACGGAGGCTTTGGAGGGACACCCTCAGCTGAGGCATTTATCTTCCCACAGGATGAGAGAGGCTCCGCTGCTGATGCAGAGGACACACCTGCCATCCAGGCAATCAAGAAGATCCGCTCCACCTTCCCAGAGCTCCTCATTGCCTGTGATGTCTGCTTGTGCCCTTACACTTCCCATGGGCACTGTGGTGAGTGCACAGCCTGGGCTCCCGTACTGCCCTTCGGGCATTTTCCTGGCACTGGGAGTCTCTGGGTGTTTGCCATTTTCAGCTGAGAAGCTCCAGACACTGGTAGGGCCTGGCCAGCTCCTGCCCCAAAACTTGACTCCCCAGTACTGATGCAGTTGGGCCTAGGAGACCTCTCCTGGGTTTGACAGCAGGGTGGGAGGCACGGGTGGTTAAAGCACCCACTCTCCACCCATCTGAATCTGTCTAAGCACTTGTCTGTGTCCTCTATCTCTGTCTTCCCTTCCCCGGAGCACCCATGTGTTGTGTCCAGTCCCTGGAGAGCTGCATCATTGGTCTCCTGGTCCTTACCGGGCTCTCTTAACGCATTCCCCGCTATTGCTCTGAGCATCTGTATAGCAAGAGCCACTCTAGGGATGGAGGCAACCGCCATCCGGCCCGTTGCCTGACCCCTGGTTTGTCTCCTAGGCATCCTGCGTGAAGATGGCACCATCCAGAACGAGATCAGCTGCCAGCGGCTGGCAGAAGTAGCGCTGGCCTACGCCAAAGCAGGTGGGGAGTAGCCTGGCACCGGTCCCCAAGTTTGACTCTCGCAGACTCACCCCCTCTCACCTTCAGCAAGCCCAAAAGCGAACTGGTCCTGGCTCCAGCTGGGGTTGCTTTTGCTCCGAGACGAGGGGGAGGCCCCCCCTGCCCTCCTGCAGGCAGTCACGGCCTCGGGCACTTCTCAGCACCTCTGGTCTTTCCTTGCAGGCTGCCACATCGTTGCCCCCTCAGATATGATGGATGGGCGCATCGCGGCCATGAAGAAGGCACTGGTCTCCAATGACCTGGGCAACAAGGTGAGCTCGGGATCTGTGTGTGCCGAAGGCAGGAGGGACGTCCACAGGGAGGCTGCGTCGCAAGTGGTGGGAGAAGCAAAGCCCCACCTTGCCCAGGCCATGCCACAGGCATTTCCCTGCCCCCATGCACACGGGCAGGCGATGTGCTTGGCTGGACACAGGGTCAGTGAGGTGCCAGGCTACTCTGGCAGGGGAAGGAGGATGTAGAGCAGAGTATAAAACAGCCGTGGGAGGAAATTGCTACGGCCCTGGCACGGGGATGCAGCACCGAGCTTCTGGCCCTCACAGCTCCGCTCTCCTCTGCAGGTTTCGGTGATGAGCTACAGTGCCAAGTTTGCTTCGTGCTTCTACGGTCCCTTCAGGTGGGTATGTCCCTCAGCCAGGAGCGTCTCCAGCCAGTGCCAGGCTAGCCAGGAGGTGCATCCCCAGATAATTATTTGGGAAAGGGGCTCAGCCAGAGCCCCAGGAGCCATGGGCCACAGCTGGAGCCATGCTGGTTGCTTTGGAGTGCTCTCCTGCTTCCCAGTGCAAAAGGGAGACAAACATACCTTGCCCAGGAGAGACTGGCTGGTGGGAAGATAACCTTGGGTGATATTCCATCCCACCCCTTCACCTGCTCGTCCTGGGTGCTGGTGGCAAGGCACGCAGAGGTGGACCTGCTCGCAGCTGCTACGAGCAGCGAGGAGGGGAGGCACAGGGGCCACCGGTGCCCCAAAGGCTAGCTTTAGGGACAAGTCTCAGCTCAGTCACCTAGTAGACCTCGTCCCAAGAAAGGCCTGACCCTGATGGGGCATCCCTGAGGGACCTGCCTCAGAAAAGAGCAAAAGGAAAATGTCTGACATGATTTTATCCTAGACTCCAGGCATGGGGAGGGCGGTGAGTGTTCAAGCATGGCTCCCAGGGCCAGCCTGGGCCAGTTGGACCTCCCAGAGCAATCCTGGGGCACTAAGGTGGGTCAGGAGAGCCCCCCTTTCCTGGCCCTGATGGCTCAGGCACTTCTCTTAGTGTGTCCTCACGTTTCTGAAGTTTTGTGGGGCAAGAGGCATGGGGAGCCGTGCTGCTCCTCATCCCCTGCCCGCTCTGCCTTGCCTGTCCCCAGGGATGCTGCACTATCCAAACCCGCCTTCGGAGACAGGCGATGCTACCAGCTGCCCCCGGGCGCCAGGGGCCTGGCGATGCGTGCCGTGGTGAGTGAGCCGGGGTCAGGCTGCCCGGGGCAGCACCAAGGGTCAGGGTTTGGGGAGAGCAAGGCCAGGGGTGCTGGGAGGCAGAAGGCAGTGGGAGGCACACCAGCCAAAACGGCCGAGGCTCTTCCCTCTCAAGGGAGAGAAATGTGATGCCCATCAGCCTGAGGGAGAGCTGGTCCCCAGCACTGGCCCAAGGACCATGTGCTGGGAGCTGTGGAGTTGGTGACCCAGTGCCCCGCTGCGGCTCGGGTGTCGGGTCTGGGGATATGC